ACGATGATAGCAATTTAGGAATTAAAAAATCAATATTAGATAAAACAAGCAAAAATCAAATAAAAAACAAACATAATAACCATAAAAGAAGCTTTGAAAGTCTGAAGAGAAGATCTTTTAAGTGAGTATAATTCAATATTCATATAGGTATTGTATATATTAATATTTAAACATAAATTAGGTTTATATAGGTACTAATGTAAGGACCGTTTTTACAATGTGCTGTTAAGTGTCGGTTAACTTTAACCGGACGGCGGACACTGTAAGAATGGCCCTAAGTATTATTGTATATTTGTATATTATACCAATTTGCTAAATTATTTAAAAGGCATCGCTCATAATTTTAATTTTTAATTTTATAATTTAAAGACTTATAGAGATATTTCTACTTATTTCTACGATTATGGTTTATACATATTACACAATTATAGGATTATTTTCAGAATATATTACTTTAATTTATAATTCATTAATATTATATTATAGTATGTGTGTATGTAAATAAGTAATATTTAAATTTAATAAATAATTTTATAATTAGAACTTAATTTGCATACACATATATATTATATAATATAACTACCTATAAATACAATTTAGGTGTTAATCATAACTTTATAATTTAGGTAATCTAAATTCAGAAGATGATTCTAAATTGAAAAAAGCTAAATCACCATCGTTATTTGATTTAATGTCTGGTAAGTTAAATAATATTTAAATTATGTAATAACAAAATATAATTAGGCAGTATAAATATTTATGTTTTTAATTACTGTTAACAATATAACAACTACCATTATGTACATACTATTTTATGTTCCACATACTATTGTAATTGGGCTCGCCCGTTAAATTGATAAATAAATAAATAAATAAATAAATAATATTTCTTATATTATTTAGATGATGAGCATCAATCAAATTCATCACAGTCGTATATATTTGTATGTTCACACCCAGCTTTTCCACTTTAAAAAAAAAAGTTCAAGCGGGGAATGTCTCCTTGAAGCACTTCGATTTACCTCGTAAAAAATGTACTGTATTTCATTTTTACTCATGTTGGTTACACTGTTTTTTTAACAATGATAAAAAAATTATTTATTATTTATCAAATTGATAAACAAATTTACAATAATTTAAAGTTATAAGCTAATTATTTTTTTCATATTCAGTTACTAATGATCCGTTGTTCACTTAAGTCGTGCCACATTCTTCTTTATTTTCTACACTACTTTCTTACCACAGTTTTTTCTTTCCATAGAATAACAAAATAAGATACTTTTTTTGCCATGGTTACATATCACTGTAGCGTCATATCGTAATATAACGTCCCATATCAATAGTGTGGTTATAGTCACTGGTTATACCACGTTAGTCTGTGTTCATATTTCGTATACGCAGTGATATTCTATTCGCGCACTTTTTATTATTTAAATACCATCGACAATTAGTTTAATTTTTTTTTTTAAATGTCTTCACAGTGTGATACACATTCACAGATGAAAAAGATAATTTTCAATGTAAATAAATATTTAAAAAAATTATCATTGGATACGCCTAATCCGGAGATAGCTACTTTTTTTAAACAGACACAATCAAAAACTGCTGAAGCATGTGGTGTAAGTGAGAAAACTGTCAAACGTATCACCACGGAAGGAAACAAATCTTCATCTGAATCACAGGCTGCTTGTCCATCGTTCACTTCCCCAAGAAAAACATATAAAATGATAAAATTTGCAATTGAAGTTGACGGTTTTGAGGCGGATATTGTGAGAATAATCGTTCATGATTTTTACGATAAACGTGAGTACAATACCACATCAAATATTTTAGCTGAATATAAAAAAAGAACTGAGTTCAAGGGTTCTAGTACTTCGATGTGGCGCATTTTGAAAAATCTAAATTTTAAGTTCAAAAAATGCAATGACGGGCGTCGGTTCTTAATGGAGCGAAATGACATTGTAGCTATGCGAGTTAAATTTTTGCGTACTATAGTTAACCTTCGCCAAAATAATGATACTCGGCCCGTTATATATTTAGACGAGACGTGGGTTAATCAGAATCATACCAAAGGGTACATTTGACCGAATGAATTTAATTCAGAATGCCTTAAAGTACCTACAGGAAAAGGGAGTAGATTGATTATTTGCCACGCAGGATCTAGTTCATTCGGATTTGTACCTGGATCAAAGTTAGTTTTTCGATGTCAAAGTGGTACGTCTGTAGATTATCACTCCCAAATGAATTTAACTATTTTTAAAGAGTGGTTTATAGAAATGTTACAACATTTAGAAGAACCTTCGATAATCGTGATGGACAATGCACCGTACCATTCAGTTCTAGCAGAAAATTATCCAAAGGCAAATGAAAGAAAAGCAAATGTACAAAAATGGCTGTCTGATAAGGGGGTTGAATATTCACCACTCAAAACATTGAGTGAATTACGTGAAAGGGTCAAACAATTGGTACCCAGACAAAAAATATATGAGCTTGATCAAATCGCGTTGGAAATGGGACATGAGGTCGTGCGTCTCCCACCTTACCATTGCCAATATAACCCAATAGAACTCATATGGGCACAAGTAAAAGGGGATGTCGCCAAAAAAATGTCTCATTTAAAATAGCAGATGTTGAAAAACTTGTTAACGAAGCCTTGGATACCGTGACCGTGGATAGTTGGAAGAAATGTGTAAGTCATTGCGAAAAAAAGAAGAGGATTTTATAAAAGAAGGCTTACGTGTCGAAATTTTGGAGCCAATAATAATGACCATTAACTCAGACGAAGATTCCGACTATTCAGAAGATGAAGATGACATAAATTTAAATGAAAATTGTGATTTGTAAAATATTGTGTTATAATTATGAATATATTTTTTAATGTTGGATAAATAAATGAATTTTATTTGTATTTGCAAACAAATAAAAATCGTGATTATAAATTAGTAAAACTGTTCATAATTTGAATTAAGAAATATTGCATTTAAATTACGGCGTAAAAAATAATCATATTTAAGATAAAATTATGTGCCTGGATCAAAGTTAGTTTTTTCGATGCCAAAGTGGTACGTCTGTAGATTATCACTCCCAAATGAATTTAACTATTTTTAAAGAGTGGTTTATAGAAATGTTACAACATTTAGAAGAACCTTCGATAATCGTGATGGACAATGCACCGTACCATTCAGTTCTAGCAGAAAATTATCCAAAGGCAAATGAAAGAAAAGCAAATGTCCATTAACTCAGACGAAGATTCCGACTATTCAGAAGATGAAGATGACATAAATTTAAATGAAAATTGTGATTTGTAAAATATTGTGTTATAATTATGTATATATTTTTTAATGTTGGATAAATAAATGAATTTTATTTGTATTTGCAAACAAATAAAAATCGTGATTATAAATTAGTAAAACTGTTCATAATTTGAATTAAGAAATATTGCATTTAAATTACGGCGTAAAAAATAATCTTATTTAAGATAAAATACAAATGAGTAATTAATTTAAATTTGCCGCGCTTTGTTTCGCGCGTGTTTTTTATAGCCCCTGCGTCAAAACGTCCACCAGGCGCGCTAACGTCGAGGGCCATTTTTCTTGAAAAGGACTGTACTAGTGATGGGCGATTCTCGAAAGTAGATCGATCTTTTGAATCGATCTGGATCGAAAAAAAAAGATCGATTCAAAAAAAGATCGGTGACAAAAGATCGATCTTTTAAAAGATCGATTCTCAAAATAACGATTTTTTAAATCACTAGACGGCGTTTTTTGACGATTTCTAGCTCTCCCTTGTTACGCCCAGGTTCATATTGATTCATATATAAAGGTTTTCCGTACTCGTTAATGCCAGTGCGAGGACTCCCTGCCTTAGTCCCACTTGATTTCGGAGCGAGTATACACTGGAAAGTGTTGTAGCCCATGGTAGTGGCTACATCAATCACAACGGAACTCACCACTTCAATGGACAGTGACAGTGTCCAAATGGTGATAGCTGGTCACAGGGGGGAGCATGAATCGCCTTAATTTTTTAAATTTTTATTGAATATATTACCAAATTTAAAATGTTTTAACTTAACATAATATTATAATAATGTATATATTATGTATATATTGCCCACATAAAACATCCATTCAGAAATACAAATACTTGCCATGTGTAATAATTTTCAAATACTTGATAATTAAACACTTGTTAATAAAATCATAAATTGATTTAATTATTTTACTAGGTAAGTAATTATTAACTTAACGCATTCATTTTGTATTTGTACAAATTAATTAGAATTTTAGAATTTAATATTTTTTAAACGTTCACCTTATACTCTATACCTATTCTTGATGTTATGTAGTGTGTAGTGTGTACTAACTACTAGCATTAACATAAAATAGTACTAAATTACATAATGTAAGATATTGCATAAATAATAAGTAAGAATATATACAATATAAGTATCAATTGACTGAGTTAGGATTAAGGTATTTAATGAAGGTAGATAAATAACACAACAATGACTATGGTAAACACTATTCTTTTATTTATTATATCATTTATTTTCACATATTTTTTTACAATAATTATTAAATTTAAAGGACCAATCGTGGGCCACTTAATTTTGTTTAAGGTACCATTAGCTCACTATTGATTCATTAAATATTTTGTGCATATTTACAAAATAATATACAAATAATTACACTATACATATTTACAAATTATATATACAAAATAATATACAGATAATTACACTATACATATTTACAAATTATATATACAAAATAATATACAGATAATTACACTATACATATTTACAAAATAATATACAGATAATTACATTATACATATTTACAAATTATATATACAAAATATTTACATAATGACATAATTCAAATATATTCATAGGTATATATACATTTTAATATATATAACATTTTTATAAGACAAATATACATACAAATAATAATAATAATAATAATAATAATAAATGATAAAATAATACTGATTTGATATTAATCAATGTGCCAATCTACCAAATCGAGAGATCCTAGAAATAGCAAATGTTGTAGTTTTTCCCCCTTCAGTCTATTTCTTTTGTTTGTCATTATATTACCAGCTTTAGAAAAAAGTCTTTCGGATGGGACAGATGTGGCCACGATCGATAAATAAGGCTCAGCAATTTTTGATATGTGAGGATAAATAGTTTTATGTACATTCCAAAACTTAAAAACATTTTCGTGTAAGGGTATAGTTGGTTGGCTTATATAATGTTTTAATTCTGTTGGCATTCGTTCACTACTATCTTCAGAATTTTCTGAGGCTTTCTTTGTGACCAATTCGTTATGAAATGACCACAAACTATCAGACATATCAGTGTCATCATCACTAGATTCTTTAGAACTACTAGAATTGATTTTTAAATCTAAAATTTTCAGACGTATCGTACGGATCGCTTGAGAAGCCGCTAAGGCGTTATTTGAATGGAGTGTCTTAAACCTAGGGTCTAGAATTGTGGCAATTGAAAGCATTGGGATCTCCTCCATCCTACCAAACCGTCGGCTTAAATTTTCCAACAAAGCAGACTTCAATTGTAAAGCAATTGGGTTAACTAAATTTACTTGTTCGCATTTTTTTATAAGACAATGAATTAGCGGGATTACTTTACTTCCAGTTATATAACGTTCACCACACAGCTCTTTAGTGGCCACTTCAAAAGGCTTAAGCATACAATTAATTTCCTTGGAAATATCTATCTCCATTGCCGATAACATTGAAGGGCCTTGACGACTATTTATTAACACAGATGCAATATGGGTAGAACATAATACAAATCTATCTATCATATAATATACCGAATTCCATCTAGTTGGTACTGATTGCTTCAATTTATAATCACATAATTTTCTAAGTTCATCGCTTGCATTTACCGAATGTTTGAAAAATGTCACAATACCTTTTATTTTAGAAATTATGTCTTGCACATCTTCAAGATCATTTAAAGATCTCTGAGTAACAAGGTTCAAAGTGTGGGCAAAACATGGCAAATGTTTATCAACACCAGATGTGTTAAATGTTTTTTTGACAGCGGACTTTATATTTGCCCCACTATCAGTAACAACATTGACAACTATATCTTTTTGAATCCCCCATTCATTCAATTGTTTTTCAAACCATTCACTAATGTGATCAGAAGTATGGTTATCTGCAAGTTCTAAGACTCCAATTGTAATACTTTCTAAATCAAATTTTTAATTATTTAAGAAGTGAGCAGTCATGCCCAAAAAGCTAGTGGTATTTATGATATCAGTCCAAATATCAGCCGTTATTGTAATTTATTCTATGTTGGATAATTTAGATTTAACTAACGACGATAACACTTCATATTTACTTTGAACTAATTTGGTAACAATTTTTCTGGACGGAACTTTGTACATTGGTGCGGCTTTTCGCATGAAATGGACAAACCCTGGTTTCTCGGTAGTTGACAATGGCAAGTTGTCTTTTGCCAACATATAAATCAAGGCATCAGTGATAGCTATGGTTTTGGAACCTCCTTCTAAAACAATATTTCCAAATTAAAATAATTTTATATTTCTAAATTATAAAAGATAATCTTACGTTCATATGATCTTATATCAGAAATCGACTCAAAAATGTTCGGCTGCTTTAGTTTTTGTCTGTTTTGAGTGTTCAGACTATAAGCAGAAGCTGCAGAACCCAACGAAGATGAAGATGAACCTTATGAACACGAGGGGTTTGATCTAATATCCGAATCATTATCAGAATCAACATTTTTTAAATTGAAACTGCTACTGCTGGACGATCGAGAAACATTAATCAATGTTGTCTGCATATTGTTAGCCTAAAATTACGATTATTAATAATTAAAGTTAAATTTTAGTTTTGATTAATCTATTATCTAAGTAGGTAATTGTGTACGAATTTCACTTACTTTACTGACAATTTCATTTGCCAAATCAGCATAATGAGCCTCTGGTAATACTATATTAGGATCATCTTCATTATCGTCACCTGTTGTAGGCAGTGAATTTCTTTGAACTTTAGGTATGGTGGCATCAAAATTAATAGAGGGATGTTTACGTTTTAAGTGGTTTTTTAAATTAGTAGTATTCCCACTTGTTTTAACCGAACATTTACATAGCTTGCATATGCCACCATCATTGAATTTTTCGTAAAAATTCCAAAGAATACTTTTGGTTCTTGATGCCATTTTAATTTCAAACAAAGAAATAAAAAATACAAAGAGCACGGAGTGCGGGATTTTGCGGAGCGGAGCTACGACGCGGGTAAATAACAAACGGACGATCGCGGGTGCGAAAATACAAATTACAAAATAAAATTACGAACGGTACACGTGCTACACAATTCGTCGGTAACGATGCGCGAGAGAAAAAGACAGGACGGTCGTTACTCGTTACTCGTTCGAAACCGAAAGCGGAAGCCGGAAAGACCGAAATACGTGTCAGTTGTCACTTGTCGGTGGCTCGGCGCGAGAAAAATTAGGTTAGTCGTTATCGTCGTTGTCGCCACGACCCAAGGTTTATAGATAATAAACTATTATCTATAAACCTTGGCCGCGACCGGCCAGTTGAAACGGTGCGTCCGATTGGACGACCCGTGTCGTAAATAAAATAACAATTGTGTGCTCGATAATCAAGTTTTTCTATTGCTTGGTTAAATTATAATTTATATTTACAATGTTGGGACAAGTAAAGCGTCGATTTGTGCCGACCGGACTTAAATAAGTGAGTCGGCACAATCGGAGGCGCTTGGGTATTGTGGTCGGACAATTGTCGAACCCTATCTTCACAAGTGTTTTTATAACGATTTATATAAGTTATACAATATGATCGGCTAGGAAGCCGGCCGTCGTCGGTGCAGACTTAAGTCAAGCGGCACCCCGACGACGAACCAGACTTGGGTCGGATAACTTAATTAAGTGCCGAGGTTGGGGTCGTGGTGGCCCTGAAAAGGGCCTTTTAATGTTGTCACGCCGTGAGTGGTCGGCCTATCCGGTGATCCCGTAGGCTGGGGTGGTTGAGTGGCGGTCGGGCGGCCTCGTCACGGCAAGAGTACACTGACACTGGTCTCTCCCCGTTGAGCGGCAGTCACGGGGTCGGTTGGTCCTGACGATGATGGCGTTGTTGATCGACCGATCTTTGCGCCCGTAGATAGGTGGTCGACGGGTCGTTATTGTTCGGCAGTTGAATGACGTTTACAGCCGTGGAGCGGCGTCGTTGTCGATATGCGTCGGTATGATGATATACGCAATCGGGAACGGCGGTGGTCTGCGGTCGAATGGCGCTGGTAGCCGTGGAGCGGCGTCGTTGTCGGTATGCGTCGGTATGATGATATACGCAATCGGGAACGGCGGTGGTCTGCGGTTGAATGGCGCTGGTAGCCGTGGAGCGGCGTCGTTGTCGATATGCGTCGGTATGATGATATACGCAATCGGGAACGGCGGTGGTCTGCGGTCGAATGGCACTGGTAGCCGTGGAGCGGCGTTGTCGTCGGTCTTCGGCGGTCGATTTCTGGTCCTGGTCTTCTTGCTATCGGAACGTTTCTTGGAGATGTTGATAGTTTGAAGGATTGAAGTGGACTGACTAGATTGTCGAGAGTGTCCGGTATTTATACCCTTTTCGACAATCTAGTCCATCGTTGATTGGTCCGCGTACTATGTTTTAGACGAGTGAAAATCACACCGTTGACCGGACATTCCTATCTATTATGTGTGATTTTCACTCGTCATATCGTGTCCTTTTTTCAATCGTTTTTACTTGGTGGGTGTTTGTTCCGTAACACAGTCGATGCTCGCGAAATAATACACGGTTGACAACATAATAGGTACGATAAAGTACGACTGTCAACATTGTAAAAAAATCGTAACTAAAAGATCGGATCATCGATTCGATTCGATTTTCACATAAATGAATCGATTCACATAAAAGATCGGACCATAGAGATCGATTCAAAAAATCGATTAATCGCATGAAAAAGATCCATCTTTTAAAAGATCGATTCGAATCGCCCATCACTAGACTGTACGTAATGTTACCGTACGAACTCCACTATAGTTACTATCATGCTATCTGCGGTTAACTAGCATAGAAACCATCGCGTTTTTTCTATTATCATGTGATCGCGGCTTCACTAGTAATTAAAAGTATGTTTCTATAACATAAATTATATATTGTTTAGTTTGTTTAAGTTTTTTTTATTTAGCTTTGAATAATAAAATAAGTAATTTAGATTTCTATATTATATATTTTATACTAATGTACTTAGGTAAAAATTACATATAATAAATTATTGGTATTCATTTGATTATTGGTGTGAACAAATTCAATATTATGAAGAACAGATTAAAACATTAACAAAGATGATTGACGAAAATAAAACTAAAGAGAGATATGAATATAAAGATCTTAAAAAAAAAAATTAAAAACCTTAACTTCACTATTTATTTAAGTAGAACAAATTCTAATCCAAATTTGTCTTATATAAAAGAGTTAAATACAAAATTAGTTTTATTAAGAGAAAATAAAATGGATATATGTCAAAAATATAGTGATTTATATATCACGAATTTTCGTAGGCGAGAAGTTTGTTTCGGTAGAAGGTTAGATTTTCTTACGACAGCAAAATCAAAACGTGAAAGGTTTCGAACATGTTAATTTTTTTTAATTTATTATAAATAATTAGTTAATATATTATTAGTTATTCGTTCATTTTTGTAAGCTAAATATAATCATTGAAAACTATACCTAGTTTATACATGATCTGTCACCATAGTTAATTTTAATTTTTTTTATAAATGCTTAAATTATATTTGACTATATAAAATACTATAAGCACTTATATATGAACTAACCTCAATAAGGAAACATTTATATAGGTCGGTCAAAGTGATTAATCACTACGCCAGAAAAATCGCGAGCGCTGTTGAGGCCCGCGATAACGAGCAAATATATGAATGTGTATGCTAACTTCGGAAGCTACCGATGACTATGGAACTTTAAGAAACCACTGGAATTGGTCGAGTGGTCAACAAATTAAGGAGGAGAGGTGGAGTCGTAGGCAAATTAGCTGAAATAGTAGTAATAACTTGGAAAAATGTCGTAAAAACGGAGACAACCGATCATTTTTTTTCAAAGGAGAACCGTATTTCTTAAGTATTAAACATGTTAGTAAATTATGATTAACACGTAGGTAGAATTTTCTTATATAAAAGAGTTAAATATAAAATAAAATAATAAATTATAACCATTAATATACATTATTTTATAACAACTAGTAGATAGATTACAAATTCTATTCAATTTTTCTAGAATAAAAAAAAAAAAAAAACGGAGTCAACAATAGTATGGAAAAAAATTCAATATAAATTACACCAACTAGAAGAAAACAACCGCGGTATGGATGCAGATACAGTCACTTTCAAAAAAAACATGAACGAGTTGAATATCAGGATTGCGAAAGCGACTTTGAAAACAACAAGAATTAAATTGACAGAAGAAAAACAGAAATTATTAAATGATTATAAAAGTTTATTTTATACAATCTATCTATGGGAAAAAAATATACAGAGAGGTCTAAGTGCATTGTATAATAAATTAGACAATATATAATATAGTCGCTGATAATATTCTGTTTTTCGAAAAAATAAAATCGATATAAATAAATTATTTTGTTATTATTTATTATTTTATCTTATAATTATATATCGAATGCTATTATAGTAAATTAAAACCTATATTCTTGTGTATATAATATCTGCCGAAGAATAAGAAATGTTTTTAATGTTCAATACTGTTCAAGTTTTATAATCGTTCAAATAAAACTAATTTAATAAAAATTTTAGATTTAAAAAAAAAACGTATCAATTTTCTAACATAATGAGCGTATAAGTTTTATGAATTTGGGACTTCTGAGTTAATTTTTACAGGGAAAAAAAAAAGTTCAAGCGGGAAAGTCCCGCTTGCAGCAAATTTGATCACCGTATAGGTAAAAATTCTAAAAAGTATGGTTGGGGCTTCTGAGTTAATTTTTACAGGGAAAAAAAAAGTTCAAGGAGGAAAGTCCCACTTGCAGCACATTCGATCACCGTATAGGTAAAATTCTAAAAAGGTGGGTTGGGGCTTCTGTAACACTTTTTACGGGGAGATGAAAGAAGTTCAAGGAGGAATGTATGCCTTACAGTGAAACCAATCTACCTAAAATTTACTAGAGAAAATGCAAATTTTAATTTGTCAAACAAGATTTTATTTAAAACATTTATAGTTACTATCGAGCCGTCGTACAATCAAGTTGTGTTATTTTTTTTTTCAGTGCATTATCTTATTGAATCGATTTTTTTCAACCAACTATTTTAAGTTTTATTAAAAAACCACGAATTTACAGAAGTTTTCTAACGATTTTCCTTCATTGGTTTATTTAGTTAGAAATAATTCGTATCCAGTACATTCAGATTTTACTACATTTTTATCGAGATTAAAAACGTATAATTCATTTCCATCTACTTTATGTCAAAATAAATATTCGTTATCTGAGGCCTGATTTAAGTATTCAGGAACTGCTGACATAGTCGAATGTTTTTCTTGCGGACTGGTGTTACAAAAATGTACTAAAGATGACATTCCGTTTGTTGAACATGCAAAATGGAATCCTAAATGTATATTTGTTTTACTTTGTAAGGGTAATGAATTTATAGAAAATGTAAAAAACGAATATGTAAAATCTACACATGTTTGTGATTGTAATCAGCCTAAATCATAATATGTTATCATTTACTAGTTTACTTGTTTAAATCAGGGACTGGAACCTTTTGAATTTATCGGTATCGGTTCCGGTACCGGTTCTCCAAAAAAAAAAATAACGATTCCGGTTCGGTTCTGGTTCTTTGATGAAAAAAAATAAAGGTACCGGTTCCATATAATTTCGGTACCGGTTCTAGCTAATTTTTAGTAGGAACATTAAATAAATATTATTATTAATAATTTGTATTTATAGATAATAGGTACCTATGAATGTAATTTTCTTACAAAAATATGGAAAAAGTAAAATTGACCTTAAGTTTTTGTGATAAGTGGACATCTGAGAAGTGAGAACTCTAAAAAATGTTATGCATGTTGCTTGATAAAAATAACTGACAACGTTTTTAAGTTTTTAACATGTTTTATGAATGCAAATATAAGTCAGTGGTCCAGTATA